TATATATATATATATATATATATTTTTTTTTTTTTTTTTAGGACGTTCATTGATGATAGAACACTGTTTTTGTGGTTCGCCTGAGGACAGGGTGTTTGAGCTGATTGTTGGTACTGCCTGCTGGTCGAGGTCAGTATTAAAATGCCTTCACGATGTTGTGTTTTTTTTTAATCTTTAGTTAAGAATTGTATATGGCATAGACACAATTAAAAGTCCTTAATTCTAACTAAAAAATGTAAAACACACTATTTCCATTATGGATATAGGTCGCTAGCTTTGTAAAGATATATAGGTCGCTAGCTTTTTTTATGTCGTCAGAGAGCATGTGTGCGTGCGTGCGTGCGTGCGTGCGTGTGTGTGTGTGTGTGTTTGTGTGAGAGAGAGAGAATTAATCCTACAGCGATTGATGCTAAAATACCCCAAAAGGAAACATGACAGACAGACACGTTTTATATGTTCCAGAGAGATAAAATACTGAAAAATGACAGTCAGATGCTGAAATACAATTTTAACCCCAACGAGAAAGACAGAGAGGAATGAATATTAAGAAAGTAAGAATCTAGTTAGAACTAATAATCAAATGCGGAAGTTGCTGGCTTTACAAAGTAATAGTATCGAGATAAGTTTTATGTGCATTTGCATTTTACAATATTTTATGGTACAAAACGAAAATGATGTTTTGTTTTGTTTTTTCTGGACTTGCACATCAGAATAAGAAACATACAGTGCTGTATAATAGAAAAAATATAAACACTAACTGGATACTTTATGCAGAAAGTAGCGGGACATATTATTTATACAAGAAGATGGGCGTATATGAGTCATATAAAACGACACAATTGGGCACATTGAAGCAGGTACCGTTATTTACTGTACGCCGATTGGCTCAAAACCCGTCGGAAGATCGCCTCAGAATGTGTAATGAATGATAGCGTCAGCGAGCGAAATATCGAGGGAGATTCGGCAGTTGTTCACAATTAACATTGGATCTAAACGTGGCTCGTGAGTTGTACAGGCGCACCCTTGTGCTACTAACGCGCAGCGTGTGAGACCAACCTAAAACATGTGAGTCTGCTTCCCCACCACACACTTTTATTTTGGTCTTCAGGCTGCGGTCCTGCAGACACACAAGCCTTACAGTCAATGTAAATATTATTTAATTGCGATTAATGTTACATGCGCGTCGATGCTAAAATGTTAGATTGGGTTTGATAACGACGTTTTCGTGTCTATCTTTCAACTTGAAGACAAGACATCGAACGCGGTGCATAACGCCATATATTCCCAGGTTTGAGTTGGAATGAATTGCATTAATTGTAGCAGATGTCGGGTGTGTGACGCATGATGCACGTCCACCCACAACATTAATAGCATCGTGCATATCAAATTCATCATGAATTATTTGTGTGCATGTTCCACTGCTCGTTGTCCTCCTTGTGTTACTGTGAGCATACGCAGCAACAGGTGAAAACACCGCCGTTGCTGTCTACAATGCGCACTGCACGTACAAACGTATGTGTCCACCCTTGTGTTCGTGTGTAGAAGCTCCGAAGAAATGGGTGCTGGAGGACAGCGGATAGAACCGGCGAGCAGCGGTGTTTTCACCTGGGAAGAAGTGCAGAGCCACTGCAGCAGGAATGACCAGTGGTTGGTGATTGATCGCAAAGTGTACAACGTCACAGAGTGGGCCAAGAGGCACCCTGGAGGCTTTCGGGTCATCCACCATTATGCAGGAGAGGATGCGACGGTACTCGATGCTTCTTATTTATCTTCATGTTGGATTATGCACATGTTGGATTATGCACAACTCCCTTTAGTTTTTTGGTTTGTTTTGTTTGTTTTGCTTCTAGGAAGCCTTTACTGCTTTTCATCCTGACAAGAAGTTTGTGCAACGCTTTCTGAAGCCGCTACTGATTGGAGAGTTGGCGGAAACAGAACTCAGCCAAGACAGGCAGAAAAATGTAAGAACTAGCTTTAAGAGTCTTAAAGGAGAACTGAACATTTATGCTCATGACACAGAGTGACAATGAATATGGTACTATCAAGAGATGTGCAAAATTGGCAAATAAAATGGCAAAAAGCCACTATGGAATTATAAGTCTGTTTAGGAAATTAATGGCAAGAGGCCAGAAGATATTGTAATGTCTGCATATTTGGATAGCGCTTGCCTGTGGAAGAGGTGGTGACTCGGATGTGGAGGGTCAGAGTGAAAACTCCCTTGTCCTGCCTTTGTTCTTGCAGCGCGCACGTTATTTAGGGGGGTACGGCGGCCCTAGCTGTCCATTGCGCTCAGATTTTGTCCTTTGTAGCAGCACCAAAGCAGACTGTGATGGATGGACACAGGACTGAGTCAATGAGTACCATATTGAACGGCCTCAACAGCTGCTGTGGCCGGCTGCCTCAGCGGTCGCAGGAAGTACTTCTTCAGTTTTGCCTTTTTGAAAATGATATTGCAGTGCGTTTCCCATTTCAGGTCCTTCGAGACCAGGAAATTGAAGGTTTTGACGGTTGACACAGTTGGACAATGTGAAGGGCAGCTGTGATGAAGGATGGTTCCAGAAGTTCACGGTCATCCCCATTCATGATTCTATGCTTCCAGGCTGCAGTCATCCAGGACTTCCAGGCCTTATATGCACACGCAGAGGAACGGGGTCTGTTTCGGGCCCACTCTCTGTTCTTCTTGGCCCACCTGGCTCACATCCTGCTGATGGAGATCCTGGCCTGGTTGCTCGTACGGCACGGGGGGACTGGCTGGATCCAGACGGCGCTCTGTGCCATCTTGATGGCGACTGCCCAGGTAACAGGAACAATGTGACTGCTTGTCAAGTTATCATATGCCAGGGGGTCACCAACCTTTTTGAAAGTGAGAGCTACTTATTGGGTACTGATAAATTCCAAAGGCTACCAGTTACACACACTCGCCTGAAGGAACAAGTTTGTTGAATTTATTTGGTGGTGAATCATCTGACCATTGTGGCGCCTGGTAGATTGTCTCCATGAACGCTGTGGTTTGGTCACATGTTACAGTAATGATCTTGGAAACCTTTTTTTCAGGTATTAAAAATGTCTTATTATTTTGTAATTTAGACCAATGCAGACAGATCTCACCAACGAGCTATTTTTACAGCAAGCCTGTGTGCCACTCGTGTGGTCCTTGTGTGCTACTTAGTGCCAGCAGGCACCTTGTTGGTGGCCCCTGTTAAGATGGAAAACATGAATCCTAAAAGCAACGCCTCTTTTGCTTTCCTTATAAGATCCAGGCCGGGTGGCTGCAGCATGATTTTGGTCACCTGTCTGTCTTCAGGAAATCCTCATGGAATCATCTTGCACACAAATTTCTTATTGGACACTTGAAGGTAACAGAACATCTTCTTAATAACCAACCCGAAAGAAGTTTTATGAAATAATTTAATCCGACCCACAGGGAGGTTCCGCTAACTGGTGGAATCATCGACATTTCCAGCATCACGCAAAGCCCAACGTCTTCAGTAAAGACCCCGATGTCAACATGTTGCGCATCTTTGTTGTCGGAGCCACTCAGCCTGTAGAGGCAAGTTGTACATTCATGCATCATCTCACCACCAACACCGAGCATGCCCCCTGTCATCCTAACTTAGCACTCCTCTCTCTCTTCTCTCTCACAGTATGGCACCAAAAAGATCAAACTTATGCCGTATAACCATCAGCACCGCTACTTCTTCCTGGGTACGCTCCTTTTCACTCTTTTCTAAATGCAGTACAATATTATGAAGGTAATGTTCAACAACTTGTTTTGTTTTAGTTGGACCCCCGCTGCTAATTCCAATTTATTTCCACCTTCAAATCATGCATGTGATGATCTCTCGACGTGACTGGGTGGTAAGGCGATGCCTTCCTGTCCTTCCTGTTTCCTTTCCTGTCTGCTTAATAGAGAATTTTGTCAACAGTTCGGAATACACTTTTTAAAAATTTCTAGTTTTGTTGCTTTTTTTTTGGCCAACTTTAGTTCAATAACATCCTAGTTATTTGGTTAATTAGCCTGTTAGCGTGTTAATTAGCTCTTCGTCATATTTGATTAGTTTGCACTTTTGCATGATATTTAGTTGGTTTGTTTGATACCATTTAGTGAGCCGATTAATGCTTTTATTAGCCCTCGAGACAGTTATTTGCTTAGTTTGCTCATTAGCAGGCAACTCATTAGCTTGCTGTCAAACTTGTTATGTGTAGGTCATTATAACATACTGTCACTGTCCTGGGGGCCTCACCCCACCAGGAACAGGAACTGTGTAACCTTGTCGAGGTGTGACAGCTTAAACCTACCTAGTGCCTGCCCGGGCTCGGTGTATTGGGGAGCCTGTCACCTCGGGGGGCTTACGACACTAGGATGGCACAAATGAGCAGACTTATGTCAGGGCTTTACAGCCCGTCAGTGTGCTGTAAGGTGGCAGCCCCACTAGCTGACTAGCCATCGCAGGGCCAACTACCCAGCATGGCGAAAAGAAACAGTTACGAAACCCACTAAAGCAACCGGATTTAACCGGACCGACCTTCCTGGAAACAGACCTCCGCCTGCACCTGACCAACGAAATTTGGACCTCCGCTATAAAACCCGCATTTCCTGCTGGAACATCCAGACACTCCTGCTCCCCGGCTATCCAACACTACTCTCCCACGAACTTTCCAGGTATAACATCACCCTTGCTGGCCTTGGTGAGTCACGCTGGCGCGGAACCGGAGAAACCACCGCCGGCGACCATCTTTTTCTGTGGAGCGGCCCGAATGATGGGAGAGGCCTCCACGGTGTAGCCCTAGCTATTCCGCTATACCGACGGAAGTCCATCATCAGCTGGAAGCCAGTCAGCGACAGACTGCTCAACGCAACAAGATGATAGTTATTTTCGCCTATAGCCCAACAGACATCACCCCAGATGAGACAAAGGACAACTTTTATGACCAGTTACAAGATGCCATTCAGGCAGTCCCCGCCCATGACATCGTCATTGTCCTCACCGATGCCAACGCCACAATCTCCACCCAAGACCACACCCTCCCGGCTGTAACAGGTCCGGTTTTCATCGACAACACCACCAACGATAACGGCCAGCGATTATACAATCTATGCAGAGCCACCAACCTCTGCATTGCCGATACATGGTTTCCCTGTAAGCGGATCCATCACTGGACCTGGTACAGCCCTGATGGAAAAACAAAGAAAGCAATCAACCACATCCTTGTTTCCCGACGATGGAAAAATTCAATCATCAACTGCCGTGTCTACAGAGGTGCGCAACTCAGCAATACAGATCACTGCCTGCTGATGGCAGACATGCAACCCAAGCTCAAGGCTGGGGCACGAAAGACTGCCTCCCCCAGGCTGGACTCCTCTCGCCTACAAGACCCGGCCATCGTGGAATTATACAGATGCTCCATCACCAATCGATTCAGCACACTGGCCAGCGAGCAGTCCCTCGACTGATCGCAATTTAAAGATGACGTAATCGAGGCTTCCATAGTGACCATCGGGCGAACAAGACCTGCTCCGAAGAAGCCCTGGATATCTCAGGATACGCTGGACATCGTAAATAAAAGACCAGATGCTCGGCTGTGCGGGGACATGGCTCTGTATCGGCTCCTTAACACACAACGGAACATCTCCCTTCGACATGACAGAAACCTTCTGGAGCAATCAGGCATCAGCCATGGAGGCCGCTTCCCAAAACAACAATCTGCGGCAGCTCTTCAACCTTCTCCGCAAAGGGAAAGCCAGCCCCCGCCAGCGCTGTTGCTTAGTCGAGGACAGAGCTGGCAATATTCTATCAACCGAAACTGAATGCATCAGTCGCTGGAAGGAGCACTTTAGTGAGCTCCTAAATCATCCTCCTGTCCCCGAAGACCCAACCCTCACCATACACTTCACCACTAATCCGGACTGTCCCATGACCCCCGTATTGCCAGCTGAAGTCAAAGCAGCCATGACAAAGCTCAAAAATGGTAAAGCGCCAGGTCTATGTGCAATCACAGCAGAGATGCTGAAGGCTGGTGGCGACCATATCATCCTGTGGCTCACACAGATCATCAACCATGTGTGGGTCACAGAGTCATTGCCTGATGACTGGAGGCGGGGCATCATACTTCACATCTGGAAGCACAAGGGAGACCAACTGACCTGCAGCAACTATAGGGGCATCACTCTCCTCTCCATTCCCGGTAAACTTTTCATCGTACTCACCCGAGCTCTACCTGCAACCAGAAGCAGACGCCGCCAACAACAAGCCGGATTCATTTCCACAATCGAACACATCTCTGCTCTCCGACTCCTGATAGAAAAGGCTCGGGAGTTCAGAAAGGACCGGCACTTATTCATTGCTTTTATTACCCTCAAGGCTGCCTTTGACAAAGTGGACCACGGGTCCCTCTGGAACATTTTAAAATCCCTCGGAGTCCCAACCAAGATCACCACACTCTTCAAACAACTGTACCAAGGTGCAGAAAGTTGTGTACATGTGAATGGCCAAGAGTCCGAGTGGTTCCCCATCAACAGCGGGGTAAGGCAGGGATGTGTCGCCGCTCCAGAGCTCTTTAACTTCGTCATTGACCACCTGGTGTCAAGAGTTTGTGAGCGGATCCCTGGAGTGCCACTCGCCAACTGCATCCTAAAGGACCTCGAGTATGCCGATGACACCGTCCTGTTCAGTGAGACTGCCGATCAGCTTCGTGAGGCACTCAGTGTTCAATGAGGAGTCCAAAAAGCTTGGCCTAAAGAGAAGTTGGGCCAAGACAAAAGTGATGCATGTTGGCGATGGACCTGACCCACCACCTTTTGTATTTGATGACACCCCTGTCCAATTTGTCTCCACCTTTAAATATCTCTGCTCGACAGTGACCAACAACGGAGACCTCAAAACAGAGATCGACTGTCGCCGCGCCCTTGCAGTCCAATGTCATGCAGTCCTTGTGGAGACCGCTGTGGCGCCACCAGCACATATCCCGGACAACAAAGCTCAGAGTCTACAATGCCTCAGCCATCTCCGTCCTCCTGTACGGCTCCGAAACCTGGCCACTGAATAACACTCTCGCGGCCAGGCTTGATGGCTTTGACTCCAGGGCCCTCAGGAGAATTGAAGGTATCTCGTGGACTGAGCACATCACAAATCAGGCTCTAATAGACAAAACCAAACAGCCACCAGCCTCCCGTCTCGCAGTAATGCTTGCCCCAGGACACCCAACCAGCACCATCTTGGCTTACAACCCCCAGCAAGCTGGCTGGAGACGACCCAGAGGTACCCCCCGCACTTGCTGGCTGGACGTAATAGCCCTGGACCTTGGGGCCTGCAATGTTACCCTGGAACAAAGTCAACACCTTGCCCAGAACCGATCCAGATGGAGAGACCTGGTTGCTGTGGTTGGCGCCACGCGCCATGAAGTGCAAGAGAATTAAAGAAAAAAGAAAGAAAAAGGTCATTATAAAGTTAGTTAATGAGCTCATTAACTCTTTAGCTCATGAGCATCAATAAACCAACTAACCTGCTAATGGGCATTTTATAAAATTTTGCTGGGCCGTCATCCATCAGTGGCCTGGGTTCCAGTTTGTCATCGTCAGTCATTTTTTCAAGCCGAGCCAAATTATAATCGTCGGTCGGTTAAGTTATTTTAACCGCGCTTCCTTCATCGCTTCTGTTGATAAATTTCACCGGTCCGTGAATCCATCATTCAATGTGATGAAAATGGTCATCATGCGGTGGCTCCCCAAACACACACGTAACTCACATGTATTTCACGTAATACTTATTTGTCAAGCTTTTGGACTGGTGGCTGCTTGCAGCTGTTTTTATTTTTTTGTTCATTTAAAGCATGCTAGTTATTGTACTATATTTAGTGGTTTCATTTCCCATTAGGTTCTAGTTTTAAAATGTTTTGTACATCTTTTGCTGTGTAATAATGCATTATAAATTCCCAGTAAAAAGATACGTTCTGTTATCCTAAGATGTTTTTTCTTCTGAAGGATATGACCTGGTGCTTGTCATACTACCTTCGCTACTTAAGTTGTTACATTCCACTTTATGGTATCCTGGGCACAGTGGCACTCATCATATTTGTCCGGTAAGTGATTTAGCACCTCAATAAGGCTTCACACTTTTAAAAAAATCACCTCTTTGAGGTAAAGTTAATGTGCTGTGGCTTGGTCGTGGCATTAAATCCTGAAAGAATAACACTGTGGTTGAAAACGAATCCTCAATTGCTCCCACATTTAAAGCAAATGATTTAGTGCTGACCAAACCACACTTTGCGACTATTATCTGACAACATTGCTTTACGCTGACTTGTAAAAGTGCTCTTCTCATTGTCACTATTCGTCTTACTACACACATTCATAAGCTTGCGTTGAGAACAAGTCTTAACACAAATGACAATTGAAGATGATTGTTGCCGTAGAATATATCAGAACTCAATCTCTTTCGGTGTCAAAATGCGGCCATCATAAAGCCTTTATTAACTGTAGGGGGCAGCATTTTAAATTAAGATGATAAAACATTCTTGTGTTAATAGAAGTTCAGAATAATAATATTACATTAAAAGACTTAAGACATTCTCTGCTCTGTTTCTCTCGTCCGCTCGCCCTTGAAACAACACGCGCTCTCTGTAACAACTATAGTATATATAAAATGAATACAACACTCTTATAATTCGACCGACAGCCTAGCCAGTTGACAGCAGACTTGGTGGCTAGCAGCGGATCATTGGCCAGCCTAGCTTGCAAGTCGTGTAGAGCAACCTGGTGTGGGGTTACTACGTAAATTAGCCTTACATAACCCTGACCTACAGTTTGAGGAAATGCGGAACAGCTAGCTCACAAACATTTTAAGAAAGGGTTTTTACAAAGGATTGGCGCTTGGTTGTTTTATTTCACGCCTGATGGTTTAACAGGAACGTCAGAGATACGCCAGAGATTAATTGTATACTAACAATTAAAAATGGCCATTTTTCCATCCCCATTACGTGCACAGGGGTCCTGTAATGACAACAATTACCTGCAGAGGCCACTGTTGCTAAATTTCCAAGTCGAGAACACGCCATTCATTTTGTTGACCTTTCCAGTTGATGTCAGTATTGCCGTGGTTTTCAGGTTTCTCGAGAGCCACTGGTTCGTGTGGGTGACTCAGATGAATCACCTCCCGATGGACATCGACCACGAGAAGCATCAAGACTGGCTCACCATGCAGGTGCCCGCTGGGAAATCTACTGTTCTTTGTTGTCATGACTTCATCTTCATGCTCATCGTGGCTCTTGTGTGTGCTTTAGCTCCAAGCCACCTGCAATATTGAGAAGTCCCCTTTCAACGACTGGTTCAGCGGACACCTCAACTTTCAGATTGAACACCAGTAAGTCACTTAATCAAGATAGTAAGATTTAAGGTATAAATGATTTGACGTATTCTACGTTTCAAGTCTTTTCCCAACAATGCCGCGTCACAACTACCACCGGGTGGCGCCGCTTGTGCGAGCCCTGTGTGACAAACATAAGATTCCTTACCAAGTGAAGACTTTGGGGGAAGGCATGATCGATGTCATCAGGTAAAATATATCCGAAATATTTGTCTCTGAATAGGACAAAAAATCTATTCTTAGTGGAGTTTTAACGACTGGCTGCTATTACCTCTCATACTGCAGGTCACTGAAAACTTCAGGGAATCTTTGGCTGGATGCATATCTTCATAAATGATCATTTTCTCACACCTGCTGTCGATTACATTTGGTTTGATTCTGGACTATAAAATGGAGTGTGTATTTTCAATGTGTGCAGGAATACTGTAATGTATTTTGTATTTCTTTCAATACGTCATTAGATAAAATTTTAATTTTAATAAGCAAGTGCCCCGATTAAGAATAGATTTGGCATGGTTAATAATACAGTCGTCGAAAAAAGGTTTGGGGGCTTTGTCATGTTTTGTCGACTGGTGTGTGTAATTTTCTGTTGTTTATTCATCTTCATGTTTAATGAGCTTTTATCATACTGAGCTAATTTGTGCTGAGAGCCTGCAATGGTTGCCAACCAATTGCAGTAGAACACGAGACAAACAGGAATTTCTACATTAACACCTAATGTGGAGAATCGGCTGAGCTCGTGAAACACTTCTCGACAAAGTGAGGCTTCATATGTCCATCACGCATTGTTCTGCGCTTCCTAAATTCCTGCATTTCTCGGCACACACATAGAAGCCTCGGCACAATTTGTCCCATAAGTTTACTCCCAACTGATAGACACTTCCGGTAAAAAGTGTCTAACTGTTAGCGACTCATAATTGTCAAGAAGCTAATGACTGAAATACTTCAAACGATCTTCAGTGGAGTCTTGCAAAGGCATCATTCAATCTGCGGCTGCCTCCGCATACATCGACATCAGACTTAAAATGCTGGAGGCGGCCACTTAGGACCACACACACTTCCTCGTCAGATGTAGGACAAAAAAATCCTGTTTTAAGTATGGACAAAATTTACTAAATTTCTTCAATAAATGGATAAAAGATAGACTGTCCTGCATATTTGGAGATGGGCAGGTGTGGATTTGCATTTTTTTGTCTGTTTTTTCAATACTTTTTCTGATTTGGGATTTTTCCCAATTTTTCTTAGATTTTCTCTTTCTGCCTGTTTCAGTGTTTTGTTTTTTTTTTAATTGCTGGCGTTAGTAAAAGAATCTTTCTGCCTGTTTCAGTGTTTTTTTTTTTTTTAATTGCTGATGTTTGTAAAAGAAAATCATTATTTTTAATCAAGGGGCCATTCAGCATGTGGTTGTTTTGGCCGCCACTCAAGTGGTCATTATTGCGCTCAAGAGTCCACACGCGTAATTTTTTTCACAATGTCTGTCCAGCTTTATCCAAAAACATAAATTACCATAAGACCGTTATACATCAAACAATTCACTAACTTTTAATCGGCTTCTTTTGCACTTGTTTTCCATCCTATTTACAGTCCTTTTGATTGTGTGTCGATCTTCATTTACTTACTGAAGCAGAACAGATGAAAATAACACCTGTGCAGAAAAGCAACACCCCAAAAAAATGACAGCATTTAACCATAATTTACAGACTCATGCAGAATCATGGTGAGCGAAATGTAGAATATGAACATAAGTTTACCGGCAGGGTGATGCTATTTGTATCTCCTGCTTCCTACTGTAAACGGCAATATGCAAATCATTGGCTATACATACAGCATGAGAAAAATGTCAAAACTTGCAGGCACAAATTACGCAACAAATTTTAGTTTTGACTGAACTGATGAAATATCGACATTGCCGTTAAGCATCGGCATGCGCCACATTGACTTGACAAGCATGTACTGTGTACATGTCACTCGCACAAGATGTTGTACATCCTCTGTTCATATTTGCTGAGCCACACAAAGCTTGAGACATCAGAGATGCAAATTAGTTTGCGCACATATAAAAGGGAAGAAAATAAATATACAGTAAAATTGTGTACAATGCATGCATCGGGTCTTTTCGCGGGTTCTGCAGGACAGCATGAATTGTGAAATTAGAGGAGGGGTGGAGGCGCGGCGCTTTAGTCTGTGCTTCCCGAGTCGATTCGCTCCTGTCTGCGCTTCATGACCTCCTGAAGCTCGCTGTCTCCATACGATTTCTGACAGAAAAATGGATGCAACCGCAACAATGAATTCTCATAACGTGGGTATTATGACACTATGAAAACACTTATGACATTCCTTATTAACTCTGAGGCTGTTTTAAATCATACTCAAAATTGTAACATAGAAAAAAAAATAAAATCCAAAGTAGCCAGAATCACCCCCCGCACCTCCAAAAAAAAAAAGAAAACATAATCCATCCATTCATTTTCTAATCCGCTCATCCTCACAAGGGTCGCGGGCGGTGCTGGAGCCTATCCCAGCTGTCTTCGGGCAGTGGCCGGGGGACCCCTGAACTGGTTGCCAGCCAATCGCCGGGCAAACTGATGAACAGCCACTCGCGCTCACAATCACACTTAGGGACAATTTGGAATGTTGAATTAAGGTACGGTGCATGTTTTTGGAATGTGGGAGGGAACCGGAGTACCCAGAGAAAACCCACGCAGGCACAGGGAGAACATGCAAACTCCACACAGGAAGGCCGGAGCCAGAATCGAACCCTGCACTTCTGCACTGTGAGGCGCATGTGTTAACCAATCGACGACCAAGTGATTTATTACTCCACAGAGACGGCAATATTTGGAATAACTTAACCAGCTCTGGTGAAAGGAGTGCCTTATATTTTGACCTATGTGAGTCTGCATGTTTTATGTTTCTCCCGACTAACCTCTATTAGTGTCTTCTGCACAGTAATCTGCGATGACACGCGAGCACCTTCGTCTCCACACACGGCCTTCAGCTCTTGTTTGTTGAGAGAAAACAACTGCGCTCCAGTCAGGATGCCCAAACAATCTACCGTCCTGTTTGAGGATAATGTGGTGGGGAAAAAAAAAAAACGTTATTTGCATCCTGTCATCTACAGAAATATTTAAGAGTTGAGGAAGCAAGAGCTGTGTGTGTTACTGACGCCTTGGAGAAGCCCTTGGCAGTAAGCCATGACTTGACTTGCTCCGGGTTGGAGTTGTACGTGAGTGGCACTTGGGTGGCAGCCGGTCGCTCAACGCGGAACTTTCTGGCGGGTGGCTGGCTTTTGTTAGCAGTGATCATCATCAGTAGCTCATTGTTGACTTCATCCATCACTGAGACACAGCGGCAACACAAATCAAGGTAAGTGTAATCTACACACACCCACATGCGCACCAAAGTGAGGTTTGCTTACTTTTGTCTTTGTGTCGACCTTTGCTGAAACTGTCTCCTGGGCTTAGGGAGCCTGGAGAGGACGCACCATAGCCTTGCTGTGCACAGACACAAGCACAAGCATTTTTATTTCAACTACATATCCGATCAAGGATTTGGATTCAAATTTCTGTATGCTGTACTTTTGTATCATTTGAGTGGGATACACACTGATAGGATTCGATCTCAGTACATAGATAAACAAACAACCATCCCCACTCACATTTACATGTATGGACAATTTCATCTTCAGTGAACCTAACAAGCAAGTTTTGGGAATGCGGTGGGAAGGTGGACAACCTGCAGAAAACTAAAGCAGGCATGAGAAAAGTCCACTAAGATGAGAAATCCAAACTTCTCAAAAGTGTGTCAGACGTGTTTACCACTTCTAGGCCACTGTCGTGCCCCTTCCTTGGCACGATTTTAAAATAAAGTACATTTAAAATGAAAACTATTAATAAGCAAAAAAACTTTTCAAAAGACCAGTTCTGACCTAATTTCTCCATTAGAAATCATTTTGATGTTTTTTTTGTTTTGTTTTTTTATGTAATCGTCTAATTTCCTACGATGGTGAAATTGAGCTCCTTGTTAGATACAGTAAAATCACTCACATTAAAAATAGATATAAACTCATGAACTATTTCACTTTGCAAATTGAACCTACTCCTCACTGTTCACTGCTTGAATTAACCGAATGAAATATTCCCCACACCCTGATATTCTAATGAACATACAGTATAAATTGTCGTCACAATGTCAATCAAAACTGTACATTATGAATTGATGAATGCAAAACCCTTGTTCTTGTCTTAAATTTGGAAGCTGTACCTAATTTTTGGGTCCAAAAGTGAGCAAATGGAGAAGCTGAGAACAGATGCTGGATCCAGCGCAGGTAAATGGAGTGCTGCAGCTTACCTGGCTGTAAAAACCGTCAGGGTCATCTAGCTTGACAACATCCAGGATGTTGTAAGGGACGTAACCGGCTTGGCCGCTACGATTCCTTAGTTTCCACCACTGCTTGTCGTCCTCGATCACCTGAGACACACCAGACGTCATACGCTGCACAGACTTCTCATTTGAGTTCAATCATTCTGGTTCATGGTTATTTACTGAATGCTAATCAGAGAGGTATTTTATAAAATCTCACCCGGTGTGCCACGTGGTTTAAGGTTGGCTGGCTCTGTTCTATACAAATATGCAAATGTTTTTACCTCAAGAATTTCATCCGTCAGCACTGACAGCTCGTTGGCATTCCGCGCTACAAAGTGGTAGCGGATTTTGGCGTATTTGCGTGCGGGGGGCATCCCGTTGTAGGACCTGTTGAGATATATGTCTGACTTTTTACCTTGGCTGATTTCAAAGTTCCCACATATGAAATAAGTCCTTTCTTACCCATTGGATGAGTTGGAGGAAAGGGTTCCATAGAACTGTGAAGAAACAGGCAAATTGTTTTGGACTTGTCGAGTCTTGGATTTCTATTCAGTTATATAAGTCTTACTTCATCAGCAGTTGAGTGTTTCCTGTAATCGGGGCTAATGGGGGACCCCAGAGGCCCACCGGGACACTCTGTTTCCCATGGGGCCGTCCTGAAGAGCTCCGCTGGAGGCTCCCAGCCATTCCGGAATTTGGGATAATAAGGAGGAGCACACTGATCCCTCGGCCACTCCGCTCTAAACACGGCACAATAGAGGTGTGATACCATCATTTTTTTATATGATTCTTGAAAAATGCCCGTCTTGAGTATTGTCGACAAACCTGGGTTTGGTCCAAGCCTCTCCAAGAAGATCAAATATGCTGGTCTCTTTCGGGGTCAGGTGCCCCCGCAGGAAGTCCACAGCGTCTTTGGAGAGGTGGGGGGAGACAATAGAACGGACCAGCTCAGGACTGCCACAACTCTGCAGCACCTGCACACACAGACAGGTAACTGGAAGCATTGGGCCCTTTTGCCTGGAGCAAAATTTTTTGTGTCTTTTATAATTGTACACGATGTACGCTTTTTACTACAGTCAAGTGACAAACTGTGCGAAACAAATCATGCGATGAGGTGACTTCAGGTGGCGCAAACCGAAAGTGACAACAAAACCAAGGTTTTTAACCTTGGTGTTGCATTTACCTGGAGTTTTAAGAGGGGCGAGCAGTTGTGGCTCCAGGCAAGTTGAATTATGAAGTGAGCAAAAAGGCTGTCAGTCATTCAGACGTCGTAAATAAACTAAATTGACATCAGATATTAATCTTTTCTTTTGAATCATTTGTTCTATTTTGAGACAGGTGACCGTTCACTTGACGTATAAAAAAAAAAGAAAAAAGAAAAAAAAAAGGCAACGCAGTTTGGTTCATTCAGGAAAGCACTCACTTGGTCTCCAGCATAACCGCAATGGTAAGCTACGTTTATTTTCGATTTTGTTTGTCAGATCTGTAGCATTATCTTTCAGATTCAATCATGCTTGCTTGCTTTGTTTGTCTGCTTTGCTTTGTGTCAGTGGCGCTTTATGTTTGCTACATCGCCATCGCAATCACTTGCTGTTCGCAATCGGCAGTTTAAACAACGTGGGCAAAAGTTATAAAGTTAAGTCTTGCAATTGCAGTGGTGTCTATGCTCAGTTGTTCTCTTTTTTTGGAGTGTGGTCATTTCATGTTTGTTCAGCTACACCGGAAAGTTTGAATGATGATTTTGCGTTACGGCTAATAGTACCGGCGCTTTGCTTTCGGGTTTGACCACTGGGATTTGTAGTCCTTTTGTTCGGTTCCACTTGTATGGGTTCTTATGTTTTTAGACTATGAATCTTGATGACAGTACAAATACATTTGATTACATATAAACTATTACGGGAAATAATGATATATCATGCTAAAAGCAATGGGTTGTGATAAAAATCATGATTGATATTGTGCTTGATAAAATTGTGAAGATGAAGGTACGGTATTAAATTACTGAATTCATGTCAGTTATATAAATTATTTACATTGTGATGCATGAAGATACGTCCATTATTTTTGTTGTATTCATGCTTACTCTTAAGTTATTAAGAGTATATAGTGAGTAATCCTTCCATGTTGAGTGACGATCCCTATTCAGAGGGCCATGAAAAAATGGGAATAACTGAACACTTGGGTTTGTTGAGATTTTAGTAGTGTTACACACTTCATGGGTATAATAATACTAGTCATTTAAGCACAAAAATAATGTACTTGACTGCTTTCTTATTTTAAGTTCTGTCATTCTTATCGGACAATAACTGAGTCATAGCATCGCGCAGGGGTCACCAACATAGCACTAGGTATCGTCGAGCGAGCACATCAGTAACTCTCCGGCCTGTTCTAAACATAGCCTGCCACTGAGAGTACATTGTAAATATGAGCGTGAACGGCTGTATGTCCATATGTGCCATAATTGACTGGCACCCAGGCCAGAGTGTACAAATCTACAGTTTGATGACAATATTGTTTTATCACAGCATCAGCGGACAAATTGTACTGTAGTATCCGACATCCACTCCGTTTGTTGCTCTTACCAGCTCCAAAGGGCCAAAGAGGAAATGAACCAACTCTGACGCGCTTGGATTTTGGATGTGCTTCTTCAGTTTGGCCTGCAGGGAGTGCAATGACAGAGCCAGTTAAGAGGCCCGGAGGCAACAAAACAAAGCAAAATAAAAACCAAGGGAGGTTAATGGATCTGAGATATTTCACCAAGAGGTTGAAGGCAAGCTTTAGTTTCTGCAAGCTATCAATGAACTCTTCCTCAGAGGGGGGCTTGGCTCGTAGGGTCAGCATGCCCTCTGTGAACAAGCACACGAGACCGCAATCAACACACACACACAAGTTGCCAGGTTCGAAGTTACATGTTAAAGGGCACCGCAGGAACCTTAAAGGGTGTTTGCATCTCTGCGAAATCTATGAGCTATAGTAATGTCAATAAATAGCTATTGTATAATTTACCATTGTTGACCTTCGCCACTCAAGTTCAAGAAAGAATTTTCCACCTGCTAAAAATGCTGGGTTGTTTTCTTAATCCATTCACTGGGTAACTCTGGATTTTGGGCAGATTTGGTTACTTTTACACATGGTTGGGTTAATTATTTTGACAGAGCAGATTGGGTTTAAGGTTGGATTTGGTGGGATGAAGAGCTGAAGTTAGTTTCAATTTTGTTTGCAGAGTGAAGATGGAGTAAATTTAAAGTGACATTGGTGGCAGCTGAAAGGCTCGGTTGGGGTCCAAAAAAGAAGAAAAAAACCCTGTCTCCCTTTTGGACCGAGCACTTTTGAATGGCTTCCTTTTGACCCAGCAGTTTTAAGCGTATATACCGGTAATGTGTTTCTCAGCCTGGAACCCAATAAATGTGTTACGTGTAATTATGAGGAGGTTGTTATGATCCACTCCCTTTAATAATGCAATCCAAGTTACATTATTCTCTATGCAGAGAAATCTTTTATGCCTAAAATTCACACAGTTCCAGATTTGAGAAACAGTCAGACCGTCAGAATAGAAAATAAATGACAGTACAGCAACAAAGTCAGTACCACCTTAGTTGTCTGTGTAGTCATCGACAGTGCTGTCTAACTTTGCAAAAGGAATATATATCTTGATATGTTCAAATCACATCACCACTGACCAAACATGCAGAAATGAGAATAGCATGGATGAAACTTCACTCAACACATTACGGCATTATTATTACTTTTCGCCTTAACATACTGCAGCACTATTTTCGAGACTGTTGAAATATTACAGAGCCAAACAAATGAAATCATTATAAGTTAGTATTAATAATAAAAAAAAAAGTAATAATAATACCACTGAAATTTATCAAATGACTTGTTCGCGAAAGCCATATTGGAATTTTGGTCTTTACCACCATGCATGTCACTGGAGAACACAAAGAGATACAAACATGGCAATGTGAGCAATATTTAATATATTGCCACTTCATGGTTGCCACCACAAAAGAAGAAAGGGAGACAGACCTGCTGGTCCTTTCTTCTTATTCTTCTTACTCTTGTTGCGCTGGTTGAGTTGGGAAAAGGCCTCGGCTGCCTTTTGCACCCGCGCCACAAATATCTCAATATCGTCCAGGGCACAGTTGAGGATTTGCTATAAAAATAACAAGATGGATGAGGGTGTCCCACAATGACACTAGGCAAAATATACGGGACAACTGCACTGCACTAGTGGGCTAACACATTTCTTTCATATGATGCATTGCAGCTCGACACTATTGTCAAAAAAACAAAAAAAAACCAGTATGAATCAAAACACTCACCACGTCCTTCTCAATGCGCTGGGCTAACTTTTCATGTGACTCTGGGTCACTGTGTCCAGAGGATCGCCTGTCTGCACCCAAAAAACACGAAGTCAGGCATGGCACAAAATCACAAATGATCTTCTGTAAAATGACATTATTTCAGCCTCGGCTGCCTTTTGCACCCGCGCCACAAATATCTCAATATCGTCCAGGGCACAGTTGAGGATTTGCTGTAAAAATAACAAGATGGATGAGAGTGTCCCACAATGACACTAGACAAAATATTAGGGACAACTGCACTGCACTAGTGAGGTACCACATTTCTTTCAAATGATGCATTGCAGCTGTACACTATTGTAAAAAAAAAAAAAAAAAAAAAAACAATATGAATCAAAACACTCACCACATCCTTCTCAATACGCTGGGCTAACTTTTCATGTGACTCTGGATCACCGTGTCCAGAGGATCGCCTGTCTGCACCCAAAAAACACGAAGTCAGGCATGACACAAAATCACAAATGATCTTCTTTAAAATGACATTATTTTGTTCAATCAAATTAATTCTTCCTCTTTTTTTTATGGGTTAGTCTAACATCAAAATAAACAACTTGCATTCGTAACGTAAGACACATTTTTTTAACTGCATAAATAATCAGTAGTATACAATGTTATTGGAAATTTCAATCCATTACAAGTTACAACCATTAACTTTCAATCAGGTAGTTCAAAACAATATGTGTCATGTAACACTGCCGCCTTTAAAAAAAGATGTGTTTCAAAATACATTGTACATCTCTGTGAGGTTCAGATAATGGCAGGATGGATGCAGATAAAAGACAGCATGCAATTCATGTAGAGCATGTTGATCAGAGCTTTAGAGCGCCTCGTTGTCAGCAATGAGTGCACGCACGTAAAGGAAAGAAGGCGAAAAGAGCTAGGTTAGAAAAAAAAAACTCAGTTCGACTTGGCAGCAAGAATGTGGACAGGGACTTTGTGCTGGTGTGCACGTTACAGTGTCTCGTTGTGTCAGCGTAGAAAAGCCCCACAAGGACCAGCCACGGGAGGCTTGAAACTGACTTTTCTTTCTCATTCAAATTTTACAGATTCGATCATGGTAATTCTCACCTTGCGGGATTGGGGCAGCAACGCGTCCCTTTGGAACAGGGGCGGCCTTGGGGGGCGACTGGGGAAGGATGGTCTCTCTTCGGTGCTTCATTTTCTCCTGGTTAATTCTCCAAGAGGACGACGACGTCAGGACCTCAAACATTGCAGGTCTGTGGATGTGTGAGCGCGCATATCTTACTTGAGTGTCTGAAGCCTCGATTTCTTTCCATATTTGTTATCTCCGAGGGCACTGTCTATATCTGCATGAACCAATTCAGCCTGTGTGAGGGACAGAGAGAGACAATCAGTCAAATGTTATGAGATGAACCGATATGTGCAGAAGTTTAAAGTTTCATTTTTAAGAAATACAATAAGAATCTTTGTCTTTAGCAAGACAATATTTACACTGTCACACTCATTAATTACTAAATCTGATGTGAACGACCACTGTGCAGGTACACACAATGCCGAGCCGTCAACAGATACTTTTGAGTCCTTGCACAAAAGTGCAAAGCCGCCAACAGCCTCGTGAAATGTGACCTCAAACTGCGGCGCCGGTCCTTTGGATTTATGAATGACACGAAGCCTTACCGTAAGTGGACCAGTTGTGTGGACAGACAATAAAAGATACAAAGTGAGTCACGCGCGTCAACACCCACCTCCACCTCGTCACAGTGAAAGAAGTGGATGTCCGGCCGGTGCTGCTCATTGTCCTGACACACAAGCAGCAGCACGGACGGGTAACGCGTCTGATTTAGCACGGCCTGAGACAGATGGATTGTGGGTAGGGGGAAGTTCTCCAGCTCCTCCTGCAGAGAGAGAATAGCAGATTTCTCATAAGAAGTGGACATCGCATGTTAGTGTGGACATTTTCATGACTTTCTTAAGTGCACTTTATGAAACCGTACAACAAATCTGCAGAGGGAGCGGTACAGTACCTGGGTGTCACAGTCCAGCAGCCTGACTGCCTTATCAGTGACTTGCAGGAGCATTTCCTGAGTCCAAATCTTGTCTTTTGAATCGAGAAGGGCAAGTTTTTTGATGGCGTCGTCCACAGTGGCGATGGACTCAGTCTTGTCCATGATGAAGGTGGACAGATGCTAACCGAGGTCGAGACAGAAGGTGACACAGGCATCGCAGAACTTAAAGTACAGAAAAGTCTAAGAATGCTGAAGGAAGATTTTTTTCTCGATCAATATAACACTGCAACATGGAGTTAGTTCTAACTAACTACTAACTAGAGCACTACACCACTATCATCGTCTGTACTGCATAATGGAATTCACTTTGTCTGTTTTAATGCGCACTCATTGAAATAGAGTACTTGGGAAATACATTCTTGAACCACAGGAAAGTTGAAGGACTTCTTCCAATTCTAAAGTACCATATAAACACAAAGAGTGCTTTTCTAAAAGGAGATGAAAGTCCAATTTCAAAATAATCAATCGTTTGCCAACCATTGTGTACACAGTCAAATACTTTTTGTTGAACGTGTTCAGACGGCGGCAATGAATTGTTTAACCCTTTCATGCACCCTGTAACCTGATGACATGGTAAGCTGTCCACTGTCGTAACTGCTGGCCCTGAAAGGGTTAAAAATGGTGAAATTCAAGCCAGCTTTTCTGTTGATTGCCTTGGTTCCATTTAAGTTATCAAATATGGTTCTGGTATAAACCAGGGGTGTCAAACTCATTTTTGTTGCGAGGCACATCATAATTACCGTTTCCCTTGGAGGGCCGTTATGATTGAAACTATATAACGAAGCCACGAATAACGTTTCATTCAATTATTGTTTAAGTAACTGTAATGAGGAGTTTGGTAACAAGAAAATGCTTACAATATGTCACTGATTTATTACATATGAAAATAAAAATTTTGGTACAGATTTTAGCAAGCATCATGGAAGTTGTCATCTTTGATTTGCTTTTGCGGGCCACTTAAAATGATGTGGCGGGCCACATCTGGCCCCCGGGCCTTGGGTTTGACACCTGTGGTTTAAACGGTACCAGAAGTAGAGATTTAGACGCTCAACTTTTTCTGGAGAAAAAAAAAATTCTCACAGAGCACGGTGAAACACCAAAGAAATTTAGGTTGGAAGAAAAAAAAATAAAATAAATTAGTGGTCCACTCAGTATGTTATTATAAAAATTTAGCTGGCAATCATTGATAATTGGGCAGTTTGAGGTCAGTACACAAACCAAAACTAAAGCAAAGAAACTCAATAGACATGTTGCTATCTTTTGTGTCCAAAAAAGAAAAAAAAAAAAACGCACATGAAACTTTGATTGATTGATTGATCATTTAAAAATACACTATTCACATGACCTGAAACAACAAAATACAAAATAAGATGAAAATTGTGACTGGAGTAGTCCGATAAAATGTTTGGGTTAGCTCCTGCTATACACAAGGCATTTTATTTAATTGCCATTTGAACAGTTTCCCATCTGATAGGAGGTCACTGATTTCCTTGCTATTCTCTTCCGCGTTGTCATAACACTCATCGTCACATTAAATTGGCTTCTCCTAACAATGCACAAATAATGATAAGTGTCCTTGGGTGTTTTGAAAGGCGCTCATAAATAAAATGTATTATTATTATTATTATTAACCTGTAACCCTGATAGATAAGCTGTCCACTGTAGTCACTGATGTCCCTGAAAGGGTTAAGTACATGACGGGTGCGATTACGAAATGCCTTGGTTGGCATGTTAATTGTTTTTTTTTTTTAATTAAATCAGACGAACTTTTTCACATTTTTTTTTCAAAATAAAGACATCAAAGGCAACTGCACTGAACCAAGACGTAGCGCAACAATGTGATATTCACATTGTGACGCCTCCGAAAGTCTACTTTCAAATTACCAATTCGTTTTTTACATGATATGGACATTAAAATTCCACATTAATGTACATGAATAATGCGTAATAATAATGAAAATGTAATCATAGCGTCATGAAAAAAATTAATGAATAAACGAAACAAAAGGATGATGAAGAATCATCATTCTCTTAAACTTAACACGTAAAACAAACGTTGCTTTCCTTACTCCGCCGCGACAATTATGATCGATGCTATCTGATATTTCCCGAGTCTCATTTCTCAATTGCGACTGTCGAAATACAAACGGCGTCAAAACTTAAATTCAACATCTACAAACAAGGCAGCCTTACCTCAACATGATACTGTGACGTCTCCTGCATAATATAATTGGAGTTGGAATATTTTTTCCTTTGCTCTGAAAAAGAAAAAGATGAAAACATTTCGAATTATGTCTCAGTTTCAGAGTCGAGGTAGTAACTGTCATCACACTTGCCTGGATCCCACATGTTGCACGAATCAGAGCAGGAGTGAATAGACCAAAGGAGACACACATGAGTGAACTGACCTACACACCGGCAGGGCAATAAGGAAGAACACCTACACTGTTTATGCTTGTTCTTCTTTTTTTTTCCCATATGCTACAGGGAAATAATGGCAGCCAAAAGGAACCAAAACAGCCAAATTAATCTCAGCTTGTAAAATTACTTAACTAGATTTTGCAGCAAATAAACCAACAAATACTTTTGAAAAAATAAAAAAATGTTTTGAGTTTTTCCATACAGGTTGACTCCCAAAGGAGTGGCGAATCACATATCTAAAAAGTTAAATATTAATCATGCTATCAAAGAAACGGTGCGAGTTGAAGTGTTCTATCTCACTTTATATAATGTTGTCAAGGATTACGTCCTCTAAAATGCGCCATAAAAGCACCAAACCTTAGGCTCAAAGATCACAGATGATCGCTGTCCAACATCACAACACCATGCGAACTTCCTCATCTCTGTCATTAGCTGCTATTGAGGCTAGTTGTAAAGTGCCAGCTTCCGAGTCTTCTTGTGGTGTCCCAGTTGGAGACGTCATGGATGACAATAATGGTACATATTCCAAGCACCGCTCCTACATTACATTTGCAGGAAGTGTGAGTTAAAAAAAACGCATGACAAGGCAAGAAAATGTTTATGACACAATACCTTAGACCACGTTTTTTTCAGGGCCTACTTTATTTTGCGTGTTTTTATTGGGTTCAAGCAAAGGATAACTTAGCCAAGGAAGATTTTTTTTAAATCATGTTTGTTAGGATTAATTCTCGTCTTGTATTCTATCGTTGCATAATACATAAATGATTGGGCTAGTATATTGTGTAGTTTTGAATGTGAATGGGACAGAGGCGGCCAGATTCTGAGCTCTGCGGATACGTATATGGTTGTCATGAACACATTATTATTAGTAGTCGAAGTAATAGTAGTATTGTTACTGTCATTCATAGAGTTTTTAAATCATTCCACTGGCCGAAATGCACCTAGGGCAGATGAACAATTGGGGTTTGGGATACAGTACTTATATGAGGTCCACTGACATATTTAAGTTGCCACTTGTGATCACCAGCCCATTCTGGCTTTAATGTGAGTAGCCGTTTACGTTGTCTGTTGCCACACTAGCCAAGAGCAGTTACAATGCTACGGTCAATCTTTGCATCCTTTCCGACATGTTACTGCTTTACATTGAAAGAGAGACTCGCTTTGATTGGCAGTGAATGAGGTTGGCTGTGTTCACGCCCACAATGGCGCAAACGGACTTTTTTAAAAATACACTGCCTTGGACGCTTCAGGAGAAGGAACAACACCTGGTCCGAATGCCTTCGCGCAGATTTACACCGCTGAACGTGCCGGACTTGCGCCAATCACTGTTATGGAGCCCCTTGTGTCTAAAGTTTTGTGTACGATGGTACAGTAACTTAAGACTCGAGTCTCATATGGCCACAGCTAAATGAGGAGATCTGCAACACTCATGATGTGATATGCTATTTTTGTGTTTGAACTGGCATACACGTGTGCCACTGACCTATTTACCAGGTGAATGGCTTGCAGGTAAGCATTACACGGTTATTAAATGTGAGCATGTTACTATCAGGCCCACACTGCCAGATGTCTTCTCTCCCCGCCCAACAGAGCAAACACTTTGGATGCCACACGCAACATGAAAAGCTCTTGTTCCCTCTGCAGTGGACACATTGTGCTGTGTGTTGAATGTGACACAAAGGCACTGAGTTTGAACAACAATTCATTGAATCTGTCAAGTGTCCTTTCATTCCCATGCACCTTGTTGGGATCTATGTGACTCAAGTGTTATTTTGAAAAGTGATAGCTTGTGTCCATGCCACCATGCGCAAACGACGCCAACATTTGCCTCGTTGCCAATCCCTCTCGGCTCATTTCTCATTGCTCGGCTCCACGCAGGTGAAAGAAGGGCATCGGGTGTCTGTTTGAAAGTTGAGCTGGCCGCCATGTCTTATTAATGCCACTTATGGCAGCCAATTCACAGGGCCGCAACAGCTCGCAGCAAGAGCCATTTAGCAGGCAGTTGGGCTGAGAAGCCAGTGCCATTGACCAAAGATAAAGAGTGATGGTGGCAGGAGGGCAGACTGTCAAACTGATAGTGTGTCCAGATCAATTTGTCATTAAGTGCATACAAACAAATGCCCTGAGATTAGGATTTGATTTTGCGTCCGCATGAAGAGCTAAAGCTGCCCAATCACTCAGACGACATGATTTGGTAACATCTGCCTTTTGTTTTTACTGCCTAGCAACATTTGGATGTGAGTGTTGGGCTGTGGTCACAAATATTTGGCTATTTGTTTCCAGGAAGCATTCACGATCGCAATGCTTGCCAAACTTTTTACACCAATTACAACCTAAACAAAAGTAAGTTTTACATGCAAAAAAAATGTAATTTTCATTCATGTAAAAAGTACCACCATCAATACAAACATTAACATACAGGAGCGCAGAAGGCCTAGGACTTCATTAAAAAATGAGACCGAGATTTTATTCCTATATATATTTAAAAAATATAGGATAATAATAACAGACCACAGTGGGGACTGTCAAATAGTACAGATTCATGACAAAATGTGAAACTGACCATATTCTGACATATACCGCCTGACAGTGATGCTAAGCTACTCAAGCTAACACCATACAAGCACAATAACAGGAATCAAACCATGAAACGGTTATCTTTCTTTGTATGTCCGTCTATTCGTTTGGGGGAAAAAAATAAGAGAGAAAACATCATTCGACTTTATTTTCAGTTCCAATGAGATGAACGCAACAGTTCACCACAAAATCAAAATGGCAGCCTGTCAAGCCTAACATCTCGACAAGGAAGTAGTGACCCGCTAAATGACAAATAAACCAACAAGAATGGCACTCCGCGCTCAGTACTTCTCCATCTGATTTTTAATTTCTGATAAAACTCTCAGGTGTACCTAATGATGTGACCGGTGAGCGTAAAGCGTTTTATACACTTATTTAAACCCCTGTTAAAAGGCTGGATGTTTAGATCTAAAATCATACAACTCTAATGCAATGTGGTGCGTTTCTGCTCTGTCCCGAAAGTGCTGATAAAGGATCATTTGCATATGGGTGTCAGGCTTTGCATACAACATAGTGAGACTGGACCTGTGCACTTTGTGTGTATTCAACATGGAGTGGGCATTAGGTGGATAGCCACTGCTGTTCTGCTGTTGTTGTTGTTGATGATACACACCGGCATCCCATCTCCTGCTTAGTGAGGACCGGCAAGCTGCTCTCATGCCACACACATCGTACTGACCATCTGCCGCACAGACTGAGGCGAAAGGAGAACAACACGGCCTCGAGTCACCACACATACTGTGAGTCACTTCACAAGGAACTCCACAAGCGGGTGTGTCCTGTGGATTTTTGGACGACTGTCATAGAGCCCTGACAGATGACAAGGTGCGAAGCCAGATGGCGTGGGAACACCAGTATTACCCGCATATAACAACATACTAAATTTAGAATAGCCACTCAATGAAGCAGTTTGTTTCGGAATCATGTTCAGCACAACATTCCACTGTATTTGCGGTGTGCAGTCAAGCCAAAGTCTGAGGCAGCATGGGCTGCAACAGAGGAAAGAAAGTGTGCCTCGTCTTTTCCCCCCTTTTCAAAGAGACTTTTATTCACCTGCGGGACACCCTGTTCCAAGCAGACTTTATAAACAGGCACGCCCCGCACCCTCCACTAAAGTCAAATAGAACACACACTCGCAGTATATGAAACTATGGAGACACATTTATTAGATACAGTGGACCTCTGCTATTTGAGGGATACGAACGAAGCTAGCTTGTGAAAAGCGAAAATCTGCGCATAATTGACTCCCACTGAAATGCATTTGAGAAAGGAAAAAAAAAACCTAAATAATTCTACCAAATCGCTGCGAAATATTCAACGTGCTTTCCGCGAAAAACAGGCAGGGGGTGGGGGGCAAAAACAACAAAAAAATGCCAAAGATTTTGATTTGAAAATCTGCAAATATGATACTCGGGATTAGCACATTTCCAATTTCTGATATGTTATGGACCAAACCATTAACATAATCATAATTAATTTACTGTGAATGTAATTGTCCTGTTATTGAGTAAAGGGTCACAACTTAATTTTTTTTTTTTTTACGTTATTTAGTTTTGAATATCAGATTCATCGATTTCTTGACAAAATGATCGACAGGACGTTAGTTGCCGTTCTACTGAATTTTCACATCGGTTGTTACCGTATGCATTTGTTGTATCTAAAAATATATCTCAGCAATCCCTTTCGCCCTGGAAAGGCCTCGAGTCAACAAGTCAATTCCAGTGTATCACTCAGCACACGTCTTTGGGGAAGCGCTATCGTCGTGAATACTACGAGAACGTGCGGCTTAACATTCAATACATTTTCTCTGTGTGTGGAATATTGGCATAAGCCTCGAGTCAACAAGTCAATTCCAGTGTATCACTCCGCACACGTCTTTGCCGAAGCGCTATCGTCGCAAATACTACGAGAACGTGCGGCTTAATATTAGTACATTTTCTCTGTGTGTGGAATAGTGGCATACATTTACTCCACATAGACAAATACTAAAAATAGGATGAGCCAATTTTCATTCAATTCTGCCTCCAAAAGAAAGAGTGAACAATTTAGTTTTGGTAGTGATAAGATAAAAGGAGAGGACTGTTTCATTCCAGGTGTAGGACAAGTTAAGGCAAACGCAGTAACGTGGCCATTCATAAATTGCTCTTGAAATGAAACATGTGCTAACAAGATCGTGAACAATCCCGTGAATGTCTGCACCATAGAGCCTTCATAGGTACAATTAGCTCAAACTTTTCACTCACACAACAAACGACAGCTTGGGGTAATAAGATTGGACGATGACAGTGTCTGCGTTGAATGGGATTTCCGCAATTAAACTGAAATTCGTACCAACCGTGTAAACAGGATCAGATTCAAATAAAACTTGCTCCACATCCAATTTTATACAAAGTGCACATTACAGTCATTCATGTGTGGATTCTCACAAACACTTCTAGGGACCCAGGTTGGTTTAATAATGGATGAATTCATAACAACTCCATCACCCCGAAGCGGAAAGTGCTTGGTGAGGTAAAATATACCAGCACTTACCAAAGAGGGCTTTGGCGCTGATCTTGCTGTCCGATCTAGCCACTCCACTGCAATGACAAGAGATGGGATTACGCTGCATTCCCTTCATCTTGTCTCCTACTACGACCAACTAAAAGGCCCCCGCTCTCTCACTTCTTCATGAGTCACAAGCCCACAAAAATAGGAGTGATATATACAAAGCGTCCGTGAGATTATAGCCTGAGATTTAGACCATATGGACCGGCCAGGGAGCAAGAGTGAGAGACGAAAAGGGAGAGGAGGAGGAGGAGGAGGAGGAGGCGGCCGAGGAGGGGGCCCGCGGGGAAGCTGGAGCCAAAAGCCCAGGCAAAGCAAATAATTCTCAACAGAGGCGCTCTGTGCCCGAGGTCCCTGACCTGCACCACCTTCCACATACGGCTTTAG